ACCGTTAGTCTAGAGTTGTAGACCGTTTTACAATTTAAAGAATACTACTATATTAGGAGTTTTGTTACAGTTAGTCGTTTTTTAAGGTCAACGATAATAAAGCTACAGTATATTCAAAAATATAAACATCTTATAAATCATACAATATAAAACTATGTGTCCTATACATTTGTATTCTGTAGGTTATTATATATATGAATGTATAAAAAATAATAACCTGTAATAATAGTCTATGTATATATAAAATATCAATATATGTGTACTGTATATATGTATGAATTATTTATATACATAAGCTTTAACTAGGTCCAATCTTTATCCTCTTTTCAATTTTGGACTATTTAAGTTTTACGTCATTCATTTAAGTTTCTTCGAAATGTAAATATAATAATTTAGCGGGGAAAAAGAGATTTGACTATTATAAGTAGTTAAAGCATTCTAAAACAATAACTTATCTCTTTGCTGTATAATCTCTTCGTACATAAACATAAATTTACATAGAATATCTATACAAACACTTGAACTTAGAAACATGAAATTCTATAAGACTGGTTTAAAATGATCTCTAAATTCAGATTAGTAATTAAAAATTTAATAATAAATTATATCATATTTTATGAGGTCAAATTTCTCAAGAAAAGAAGACATACTGGCAGACAGTAAGAGTACCTTACAGTATTTCATCTTTTATTTTAATGAATTAAGTCAAGCAAGTGAAATATAATATACTTTCGCGCTTATTACGCAATCAAATCAAATTTTTATGTATATTTTCTCATTTTTTTACTTACAGATTAATATAAGAACACACGATCTTTCATTTTATCATTATTATATGCATTTCAATATATGGAATCATCGCACTGTGAATACATTTGAGTGTAGTCGGAAATCCTAATCCGGGAACACCCTTAATCCGGTAGCGTTTACGTAAATTACAATTTCGAGAAATCTAAAAAAACAATTATAGGATATAGGCTATATACCTGTGACTCAAACTTCTTTAAGTGGATTTTGTCATTCAACACGGGAAAAATTTTCCCGTCTTGAAAGGAATTGAACGTAATACGGTACTTTTCTAAGTTTACATCACGTTTGATATGGAGTTTGTTATGCTTATGTTAACTTTCATATGCACATTTTTAAATTAACGCAATACTTAGCATTAATTTTTTAAATTAATTATTGTGCCATAAATTAATAAAATTTGTTAATTTGCTGTTAAAATATATTGAAAATAACATTGAGTAAAAAAATAGAAAAAGCGCAACACTTAACACGCAATACCAACTCTCTTGAAGTAATCGACTGGAATTTTTTTTTTAAATTTGAAAAAATGTTTTAAATTTATAATACTATACAATACTGTATTTTAAAACCCAGTTTTTACATAACGAAAATTTTAGAGTAAGTGGGAGAAATCAAATTTTTAAAGCAGAAAATTGTAATTATTATAATTTATGCGCTACTATGATTCATATATGAAGTGATAAGTTCAAAAATGTGAACTTATATCATACACATGACTTATCTCAATTAAGAAATGAGAACTCCCCAAAACAATAGAATCGGTCTTGAACAAAATCTACAAATCAACTGTCACTCAGCTATAATATAAACGTAAGTTATAATATCCATTTATAAATTAAATAAAAATTATATAGAAGAAAGAGATAAATTCTTTACATTTTTATTAAATTGCAGTAATAGGAAGACCTACAAAAAAGTATATATTTTTAATATGAAACTTATATCTATTATGTTTAAATTTAATAAATTTTCATTGCAATCTTTATTTTAAAAATTTATTAAGCTATTTTTTTCATTAATGTATTCTTCAAAACTATTATTTTGTAAATTTCATATTCAATTCCTGTGATTATATAAAAATAATGTCAATATAGTAAAACTGTTATGTAAATTTGGCCATAATACATAAACATTCGTTAGAGTGTAAAGCGTTTTAAATAATGTATAATATTTATCTCGATAAAATAGAATTTCTTGCAATAATAGCCATATACTTTGTATTGAAATTTGATATCTTTTATAATATCAGGTAACACTATCTTCTTGATAAACAATAATGACTAATGTGTGAAATATCTTAAATAATTCTATAATGCTTCTACTAAATTAAACTTGATTCAATTAAAATATTAATGTTATATAAGCAAGATTTAGAATAAAGTATCTAAGAAAAATTGAGAATAATTTAAATAGAGCCTAATCTTTTGAATAGATTATAAAGTACTAAATAAAAAGTAATTAAAAATTGGGTTTAGAAAGAAAAGTGTTGGGCTACTTGAAGTCATAAACCTAGCAGGATAATAAAATCAGAATATCATGACTTTAGTCCTATTTTCTCTAAGAGATTTGTATCTAATTGTCAGCTTAAAGGAAAGTTTTGAGAATTTTATTACAATATTTTGCTACGAACTACTTCATAAAGAATAAATTTCAAAATATTTCTATTTTTATAAATTGGAGTTATGAAATAAACGGAAAAGATATCATTTCAGTGTGAGAAAAGAAGTGAATTCAAACACAGAACAATCTCTTGAGTCAATTACGCGACAAATAAAAAAATAAAAATAAAAAATAGGTCAGTGGGGTGCATCTGCACATCTCCCCCGTCCGACTGGTTCTGTGCACTCATTCATTAATGAAATATTTTGTTTTATATGAAAATATTTCCTATAAACACACTAATAAAACACACTATATAACATATATATTACACACATATATTATATAAGATAGGTTGTAAAAATCTTTAGCTAAATATTTTTAACTTATAATTAATGGCGATTTTTAAGGGAATATTTTCCAAGATTTTTCATTAAACTTAGCCTAGATCTATTAAATAATTTTATAAAGAGCCTTCTATAATCTAATTTTTACTGAATTATACAGATTAAATCTTTTCTTATGCTAGTCATTTACAGACTTTCAATACTTATTTAGTAATATATATTAGCGTTAATAACCTGTATAAATGCTATATTATTTATAAAAATAAACTCGAAGATATATATGTATTTTGTATAATTTATTAAAAGCAAACTTTTATGAAATAACTTCACATAAGTGCGCTTTTATAAATCTTTTTGTTTCCCTTTTAGATTAATATTTGGAGCTGTTATACAAGTTAAAATAATTAGATGAGTAACAAAATGAATCATTTCCGCTACCTATAATAGAGTTTTATCAAATATAAAAGAAGAAAAATACTTTTAAAATAATTTATAGGATAAGATATAACTTATAATAATAAAAGTGCTTTAATTAAATTAATTAAATTTTATTTTATTAACTGTAAAATGAAAAAAAAAAACCTTTATAATATAACATTTTTACTTACGTAAAATTTTCAGAACTAATTGATAAAATGGGCGCTCTTTTAATATTGAAATCAAATCTTGTTTAGTCTGAATATAAAAATTATAGCTTAGATGCTCATCTTAAAGGACCTTTTCTTATTTTAAATTACTTGAATACTAAAGCGTCAAAGGAGAATAAATAATTATCTTTTGACTAGTAGACTTTTCCTCTTTCAAAAAGTTGGTTAAAGCGAACAAGGGGTTGATTGTACTGGGCTACTATCCTTGACAGAAACTAGTAGCTGTATTCCAGGCTGACTCCCTTTAGGGAATTTCTCTTAAGAGGACATTTACATTGTCCGGAGGCGCTTCCGACGACTAAGAGGAATATATTTCAAGCATTGTGTGCCAAGAAGGAAAGGAGATCTTAAAAAAAAAGGCCCACCTGTTATGATATGTCTTAAAATTGCATTCTGTGAGAAAGACACACTATCTTAAACATTCGCATCGTAAAAGAACAATGTCGTTTTTCATTTCGAACATACTTTTTTTTATATTTTTCATGTGAAATAAACTGAAGTGATGATAATTAGATAGATTCAATCACCGAATTGTATACCGAATGCTAATTATTTCATATCTAATAAGGAGTTACTTCTTACATTCGCACATTTAAAAGTAACACGTTAACAAGCCTAAGGCAAGCAGCACGATTATTTAAGGCTTTTAATGATTTAAATTGTTATTTTTTAAGGTTACACATCAAAAAGATATAACTAATCATAGGGAGGAATATTCTTATCTGTTTGTCTAGTAATATGTCTTTGTGTCTTCTGCATTTTGCTATTAATTTCTTGTCTTCAATCATTATTTAACAACCACTTTCTGTAAAATTATCTTTCGACAATAATTAAACATATTAAAGAACGAAAACAAATATGCTATTCTCGTTAAATCAATATTTTTTTAAAAGAATCTTTTGTCTTATTTTTAGCATTGTTTTAAAATACAAAAGTTTCGTGATACTAAAATTACTTACAAAAAATGATATTTGTTTTTATTTTCTGTAATTTTAAAATGTATAGGCTATATATATACAAAATTACAGAATAATTCTAATCACATTTAATTAATTTAGTTAATTTTGAATAGGTTATACCTATAGAAAAAAAAATGTATTTTCTCACAGAAAATTATGATATGAAACCATTTATTAATCCGAATTATATTGGAAGAGAGTAGAAATCAATTATCTTCTATTTAAAAAACCGAAAGTAAATTCTCTTCCTTTATTAAGGATAAGCAATCTGTCTTTCCGTCTGTCTATCTTTTCTTGATTAACGAACCTTAAGCTGCTTCGGGCACATTAATCATCGGAAGAGAACAGAGCGTAAGATGTGTCCTGTAATATCCAGTCTGCAATTTTCGATCATACATAACCGAGCCCAATCATCTTATCGTTCGTCTCATCTCTGAATTGTTGCATTCTACGCACAAGTTCAATACAGAACTGAATAATCATTTAATTCGGCAAAATGTCGCCTAACAAGTTTATGCCATCGATATAATTCGGCTATTTCATTGTCATAGTGGCGCCATCTTTCGCCAAATTTTAAAATACGACATTCACTACTAAATGTATTCATACAGAAATTAAATTTTAAAAATTTTACTCACCGATTTTTGTGTGTTTTGAGTCCCAAAACTCTAATGCATTCTCCAGCTAAAAAATAAAATTTTAATTGAATTATTTAATCATATTTAATAGCATTTTTTTATTTAAAAAATGTGAAATTATTTACGTGATATAAGGTAGGGGCCTATTATGGTCCCTTCCAAGTTTGGGTGGGCTGTTATTTTGACTGAAAAAAAAAAAATTGGCCAAAATAATAGTCCCAACATAATGGCGTCTTACCTTATATCTTTTCTTTATAAATATACTATATTTACACTGTAAAAATTGAAGAAAACGAAACGTTATTAGATTTTTGAACTGTTTTTAGGCATCAGAATTCATTTAATCAAAAATATTTCATAGTAAATCGTTGAAAATAAATTATGCATTTCCTAAATGAAGAAATAAATTAAAATGAATAGCTTAATTATTATTGCAAGTAAGATCGATGATGATTATTAGATATAAGTCTGTTTTACGTGATCTAGATTTTATCGAGAAACTTTCTCTCTCAGTTACATACGTTTGTCTGCCTGAAACTTGATAAAATTCTGTATTATCGTCTAGTTCATTTAAAAGAAGTTATATTTAATTGGACAACTTTTTTAATTTTTTAAAATGTAACCTTTTCATACGGATATTATTGTTGTTAATTTAGTTTTTATTATTAATCTGACATGTTTTTAATAATAGAGGGGAAAAAATCAGAACTTATTCATTCACAAACTTTAAATTCTTACTTTTATAGTGCTAGACTTTATTACAAGCATAACTATATATATATAATTATAAAATAATAACTAGATTTTCAAGTTGTTAGAAATATATTTAGGCATTACATAATTTATAAAGTATTATATGTAATTATTCATAATATAAATATATACAGTAGAACCTCCAAACAACGGTATTTTTTAATGTTCCTGTTTTTCAAAGGTTTGACTGTATTTATACTATGAATAGATTAGTACATATATCTAGATATTATATCGTTCATAAAGTATTATATTTAAATATAATACTAGATATATTTAAGCAGAAAAAAATAACAGAAAAACTTGTTAGCAATCCAAATAATTATGTAGCATATTTATAAATAAATAAATATAATATTCATATCAAATAATTAAGTCTTGTTTTCTCGGAAAGGTTAGTTTAGTAAAAGTCAATTAAATAATTATAATTAGGAATTAATGTACAAACCCGAGAACATATTAAGTGATTAATATTAATGTATAGTATAATTAAACGTATTTAATGCATCCATCATTTCCGAATAACGTAAGAGCTATGTTCAGTTCTCACATAATCCAAACTTAATTACTTCTTTGAGTGAATATGTAGCTATATTTTGAGTAACTTTTTTATTGTAAATTAATAATATAATCGAGTAATATTTTATATGAATTCTTAAAATACGAAAATAGTATTAAGAAGATACAATCTAACTGATATGTTTAATTTAAAGCATTCATTAAATTATTAATGAAATTATAAAATTACAATGAATTAAAATGCAATAATATTGTAACTTTTGTTTTCGTACGGGTGAATTTTTAAAAAAATAATTAGCTTACCCATGCGTAAAAATGTTATCATAAAGAACGACTCATTTAAAAATGTTTTAATCAATTTTTTTTTAGTTCAAGGGAAATTCTTTAATTTTATTTATATTAATAATGTTTTGGTTCGCTTTGATGAAACTAACAGGAAGCTTTACCTTTGAGAAACAAACGGAGCAGAACATCTCAACTCATTGGCCTGAGAAGGAATGGTCCGATGTTCTGCTAAATGAGTTGTGATTTTTCATTTAGACATAATTAGATTCGAATCTAAACAACATTCAAGAAACGTTATTCCAATAATAAGTAAATTTATTTTAAATATGCCAATTTA